TTTGGTTTTTTGAGACTGGGTCTTACTATGTGAGTTCAATCTGGCGTTGGACTCACTTTGTAGGCCCGGCTGACTGAACTCATGATGATCTTCCTGCCTCAGCCTCCCAAGTGCTGGAATTATAGGAATGTGTCACCACAATAGGCCTCATTTATAGTTTTTGTATTTGTTTGGAGATTTTTTGGTACTGGAAGTTGAACCCAGGACCTTCATGCTGAGCTGAAGCCCCAGCCCATTTTTATTTTTCATTTTGAGACATTTCTGAGTTTCTGAGACTGGACTTAAAAGTATAGTCCTCGGCCTCCTAGGGTCCTAGGACTACAGGTGTGCACTGGGATAACTTCAGGTGCCCAACTTCAATTCATAGTTTTGTTATGGACCGAACATGTGTACAATAATAAAGCCTACCACTTTAGAGTTGTTGAGAAGTGAGATAATATATGAAAACATTGATACCAGCCTCATAGTAAGATCTCACTAAATTGTTTCAATTCTGTTAGCATTATAAAACATAATATGGGTTAGTTTATAAGTGCTCTATCACATGTTAGTGTCTTACTATGACCAGTCCCAACTCAATCCTGCCTCACATGATTCCAGGTTAGAGCTGAAACTTGTGTTTGGGCCCCTGCAAATAAAATCACAAGACGATGTTGTCAGCAGCAAATCCCAGGACCTTCTGCCTTGCTGTGCAAGGATTCTGGCACAGGGCATCCTGCCCAGATTGGGAGATGCCAGAATCCAGTGCAGGCTGACAGGGGCCCTTCAGGGTGCTGGCCAGAGTGTGTGCTTTGCTGGGCTGCATAAATAGTTCTGATCCTTCCAGCCCAGGGTTACTCATGCTGTTTTCTAACAGCACCTCTTATTGGCTGCCGTTCAGTCACTTCAGGCTGAGAGGTCACTCCCATTCAGTTATTAATGGTATACCTAGTTGATTCATTTAAAAGTAAGTATGGGGGGGGGAGTATTGGCTTCAAAGAGGAATGTGAATCAAAACCACAGTTCAGAAACCAAAGAGAATAGTGAGTGCCCATAGATACACACTGGGTATTTGGCTTTTAGAGTAGTATTGACAGAAATAATCATTCTTTCACTGCAATTCCTGTGTTTGTTCTTTGGCTTACATGGCTTAGCAGAAACTCATCTGGAAAATTAAAACACTTAGCTATAAACGGACGTATTTACACCCAGAAGGTGACTATGTGTGTCAGGATGGAGGACGAAGGAGAACAAGGGCACAGAGCAGAGATTTAGGAAAAGCGATAACTTTTCAGGTGCACCAGCTTCAGAACATTGAGGAGAAAATGCCAGAACATTGGGTGCTAGGTGCTCTTTCGCCTCCAAAATCAGCAGGACTTTTCAGAATGTGAAGTCCGCCTCGGAAGCGGAAGCCCTTGAACACATGATTGCACACTTGACCGAGCACCTGATCGCTTCATACTGCACAGGCAGCTAGTGGCTTGGCTACTTCTGATCTCCGGCTATTTTGAGTCTCTTATCTGCATCTAACAGTCAAAATATGTTTGCATCTGTCATTGTTGGTATTTTTAAAAGCTTGACTACCATTTTAAGAAAAATATTCACCTAAAGTTACATACCCAATCTTTTATTTTTGGAGTGCATTTTGAGACAGGGTCTTTCTATGTAGTCCACACTGGCATTGAACCCACTATGTGGCCCAGGCTGGCCTCAAACTCAGATCCAGTGCTCTTGCCTCAGCCTCAGAGTGTTGAGATGACAGGTGTGCACCACCACACCCAGCCTCCAGAGTTTCAGTTATTTCTCTACAGTAAATATTCCTTAAACCTAGGGAAGTGGTGGTGAACCCATAGCATGTGTGCTGCACGGGGCTGTCTGTCATCACTGAAAGCTCGCAAAGGTTTGCTTCCCTGGGCTGGGGTTTCTGTTTTGCTCACCATTGAATCCTCAGTGTCAAACAGTCCTTGGAATGTTATAGGTACTAAGTACATATTTGATGAGTAAATAAATGAATGATTGAGGGCAGATTCATTGCCCTGTTGTTAGAAAGGGAGCCTTCGTGCTGACAGGTGATCACCTTTAGAGAGAGGAGGTTTCTCTCTTCCCTGTCATCTCTGTGAAATCTCACAGGACACAGTGGCTCCCCCAGCATAGAGGAGAATCTCTGATAATTCACCTGAACCTTTTGGATTGCAATCATCCCTTATAATTACTTTCTGCAGTCAAAAAACTCTGAGACTTGTGGCATGGTGACACTTGCATGTTACACAAGTTCAAGGCAAGTCTGGGCTACATAGCAAGACCATGTCTCAAAAAAGATAAAGGACTAGAGATACAGCTCAGGGTAGAATACTGGCCTAATTTGTCAAAGCTCCTGGACTCAATCCCTTGTAGTGAAAAGCAACAAAGCCCTGATACTGAGAATAATGTTCCATTCTGCTTTATCATTTCCTCATTTCCCATGCAGTGTGTATGATATTCTACCACTGCCACTGGCTGTGTGATCTTGGGAAATTTGCTTAACCTCTCGGAACATCATTTTTCTCACATGTGAAGTATACTACTGACTTACAAGGTGCATGTAGCAGTTGCATGAGTTAATGTATTCTAAAGGCTTAACACAGCGTTTGACCCACAACTGATCATCAATAGTTGGTCTACTAGTCTACCTTTCCCTCAAGTTGAACAGCAGCGGAAGAAAGCACAGATATGGCACATTGTCATTATTTGTGGTACTTGTGTTCTGGGAGGTCTGTTCTGGGAGCACTGAATCAACAAATACTGAACCACTGCTCCCAGAGGCACTGTATGGTTAGAATCTGGGAGTCTCTGATCACATTTCATCAGCCCACCAGTACAGAGCTTGCTTTAAAGACCTTTTATTTAATATATACTAAGCTGAAGGCCAGTGACATGATAACCCATGCCCGGGTGAAGCTGTCAGACCCGTTTCTCTGACACGCGTCACCATAGACTGTTGGTTCTTTGGGGGATGCAAGCCAGCTCTTCAACACAACATGCAGGGGCATCTTAAACAGCTAAGTCACCAAGAGAAATCACAAAAATACAAAAAAAAACACACACACAAAGTGGCACTAAACAGGTTGTAAGGGACAGTTGGAGTTGTGACAATGAAACATGTAGGTAGGAGGGTGCCCTGCTGTATGCCCCTGAGCATGGTGGTCACTCTGTGCAGAGATGTGGGTGATCCAATCTGGGAGTTACAAATTAGTTGCACCAAGTAGGGGAATTTGCAGAGGTGGAATCTGCAGTGAGAGCTGACTGTATTTGGAAGCAGCCAAGAGAAGAACAGTAAGCTTTGGGGAAATGCCAAGGATTTGGAAGGCAGAAACCACATGTGCATAGCCAAGTTTCGACCAAGCTGATGTTCAGGAAATAATTACTGCAGGGTGTGGTGGCTTATGCCTGTAATCCCAGCATTTGAATGACTGAGGCAGGAGGAGCGGCACGAGTTCAAGGCCATCCTAGCCTACAGAGTGAGTTCAAGGCCAGCCTGAACTACAAGGCAAGATACAGTCTCAAAAAAACAAAAACAGGACTGGGGGCAGAGAGGAGAAAGAAGGTACACCTTCCTGTGTGCTAGCAGTAACTGTGGGCAGGAGGAGAAACAAGAAGTGCCCTTCCTGTGAGCCAGCCAGTGCACAGGCTGGGAGACAAGACGGGCTGAGCACCACACATACCCTACTCCAAGCAACCTGTTAACTCAGAGGAACACAGACTGATCTGATAGCAACTGAGGTACAAAAACAACTTAAGCTTATATCGTTGGAAGGACTACAGAGCTAAAGCCAGTAGTCTGAGCATCTATTTAGAGGATAATAATATGCAGTATAGCAATGGGGGCTTTTCTTCTGTCTTGTTTTTGAAATCCAATAATGTTCTCACTGTTTTGTTTTGCTCTGTTTTACTGCTTTTGTTTTATTCAGTGTTTTGTTTTGATTGGTTTTATTCTGTTCTGTTTTGTTTGATTTTATTGTGTGATGGTACAGGCAGCAATTTTGAAGATAACAAGAGGCATTATGGTATCAATGATTGATTTCCTATTATACTGTTTTGAGGTCATGTATCACTTTCTCTATTTTGTTTTGATCGGCTTTATTCTGTTTTATTTTGTTCTCTTTAAAATAAAAAAAGCGGGGAGAGTGGACCAAGGATTTAGCTTAGCAGAATAAGTGCCTGCCTGGCAAGTGTGAGGTCGTGAGTTTGAACCCTGGTACCAATAAATAAACAAAATTAAAGAAAAGAGAAAAATAGGAAATCATTGACTCTTTTTCCAGTTTAACAAGTACCTGTGCTGTGTTGTGGCCATTCTGTGACAAGCAGGTTTTTGTCCTGCACCCCTGCAAACAGGACTCCGGTGCTGCGAGGGGAGGGCTCCAGAGAGGAAACCCCCTCTCAGCTTCCTCCCTGTCCTCACCAGCTGACTGAAGAAACAGGTTACCTTAGGCTCCAGTACAAGTGGAAAATTAGAATAGATCCTCCTCATTCACAACAAGCTCCTGTGTCCTCCAGCTGTGCTGGGTACCCTGGGGGATCTGGCCTGATGAGAAAGATACTGACCCTTTTTTAAGAACCGACAGATCCACAGTCCGTCTCGGGGATTGCACAGTGTGGAGATGCGAAACAGACAGTTACGTGCAAAATACGAGAGGCCTTTTGTAAATTAAGTCAGTGAAAACACAGGAGCAAAGGCAGTATGCACACACGCACATGTACACACACACACACAGACACACACACACCCCTCAGCCCTTTGTTTTTAATCCTTGAAAGCTCATTTTCTGTGCAGCTTCTGAACAGGAAAACAATGAGCAATGTTATATTTGTGGCCTATAAATACATTATAACTTGATTACAAATTGTAAGAGTTTATAAATAATGTAACCATAACTAGATATATAGCATATGAAAGAATTAATTTATTTCTTTGTCCAACATGACATTTGGGAGTGGCAGTGTTTGTTCAGAACTAAACTAAAAAGAGAATATTGGTCCAAAAGTATTTTAAGATTGTGTTTATTTTAAGATTGTGTTTTATAACCTTGGCAAATGCTAAGGGAAAAATAAACGGTAAACTCACATCACTCTACGTAGTTCCTGACAAAAGGAAAAAGCACAGTTTAAAATACCAGTAGGTGCTATGACTTGTTCAGATAATAAAAGCACCATCTTCAGCAGTTCATTGTCAGATGTTTCACTTTTTTCTCAGAGCACAATGGATTTTAGGTTCTAGACTTACATCCTAATTTGATTTCAGCTGCCTTGTATGCGTGTCCTGGGAGTATAAGCTAATTTAATTTCATGTTCACTGAAGTTCTTTCTTGTTATTAAAAACTAACATTATAGAAATCTGTTTGTGCTGGTTGCTTTCTCTTATGACTGAGACAAAATACCTGACACCCAACATGAAGGAAGGAAAGTCTTATTTAGCTCAGTTTGTAGAGGTTTCAGTCCATAACCAGCTGGCTCCAAGGCAAAATGGCACATGGCAGAGAGCAACCGTTCATGACAGGAGAAGACAGCAAAAGCAACAAGAGCCAAAAGGGAGGAGCACAAGAGCAAGCTTCCTCCGTCCCTTACATTGTGTGCAGGCTACCCGCCCCAGGCAGGTGTAGCACTCATGCCCATAACCCCAGCACTGGACCATGAGTCAATCACAGATGCTAGAAGCCCGCTCCATGACCGTATGAGGCTTTGGAGGGACATCCAGACACAAACCATAACACTGCTGAATTCATGGAAATCAAAGACAGTCATTGTTAACATTTTTTTGTATTCCACTCCATATTTTGATTTATTTTTTCTAGTCTTTTTAGGCGTATATGATACGATTATTTTCATCATGCTATTTATGTATGTTTATGTCTTGTTTTCAATTTATAACTAATATTTTGCTTAACAGAAAATAGAAATTTTATAAACATTGTAATTCTGCATAATCTTTTAAACAAGCCATAATTTACTTGAGTTTTTCTGTCATAAATAACCCTTTAATTCACATCATTAGACATAAAGATGTCTGCATGTCCTTTTAGGATAGGTTGCAAACTGGAATTGCTGACTCTATGATATGAACCTTTCTTTCCTTTTTTTCCCCCTCTGTGTGTGTGTGTGTGTGTGTGTGTGTGTGTGTGTGTGTGTCTGTGTTTATGGTACAAGCTTTGAACCCAGGGGAATGCATATGGTCAGAAAGCACTGTACCACTGAGCTACATCCCCAGCCTTCCTCTTTTTGAACAGGGGGACAAGGACTCACTGAGTTAACTAGGTGGTCTCAGATTTGCACACTTCCTGCCTCTTTCCCTTGAGAAGCTGGGGTTATAGGTTTTAAAATTTTTGAGACATATTGACATTGGTGATTCCAATTGAAAAATTAGCCTCTTCTAGATCTAGGGAAAAAGGTTCTTCTCCATTGTTGCTGGGAGATAAAGTAATACAGTGTTGGAAATCAATATAGAAGTTCCTCAAGAAATTAAAAATACAGCTATTGTTTTACCCAACTATACCACTCTTTGGTATATTCCAAGCAGAACGAAAGTCAGCATAGTGTGTACATCTGCTTACCTATGCTTATTGCAGTGCAGTTCATAGTGCTATGCTACAGGAGTAGAATGTATGTATATACTGTATACACAGTGGACTGTTAGCCATAAAGAAGAACGAGGTCATGTCATTTGCAGAAAATAGAAGGAACTGGAGAACATATTATGTTAAGAGAAACAAGCCAGAAACAAAATCATGTTTTCTATCATATGAAAAATCTAGATAAGGCTTTAAAAAGAAAAGTGACATGAAAGTATAAAAAATACTATTAGAGAACAGGAGACTAGGAGAGGGGAAGATGATCAAGGTTTGTGCCAAAACAAAACCCATGTTTCTGCAGAACTAGTATGGACTAATAAAAAAAATTAAACTAACCCAGTTTAGACAAATTTCCCCTAAGAACAGAAGGTTGAAAGCACAAATTCCAGTACACAATACAAATGACTTTTTGTTGTGCTCAGCTCTGTTTGGTGATTATCAGGCTGCAGAAAAGACTTTGAGACCTGCACTTGTGTCCCAGCTCCTCTTTACAAAAGTTGCACTTAGTGGCCGAAAATCCCAGGGCCCTGGCAGTGGCCTGGTCTGCATCTGCAGTTGCCGGGCACTGGCATTTTCTAGCCTGTTCTCATACAAAGTTCCAGCAAGACCAGAAGCAAAGGACTCCTGCTTGCTATAATATCTTTGTTAAAATTAAAGCTGGTCGGGGGTGGGGATTTAGCTTAGCAGCATAAGTACCTGCCTTGCAAGCATGTGGTCATGAGTTCGATCCCCAGTACCAATAAAAAAAAAATGGTACCAAAAATTAAAGCTGGTCAATCAAATATTTTGATATAAAAGGAAGATAATAGTGCCTAGTTGAGTTGAGGTCCCTAAAAAACACCTGCATCCCTGCATTTGAAAATGTCTTTCATGTGGCAGCTACTTGCATGACAAATAAACAGTAAAAACTTCATGACATTTGGAGTTCTTGTCTTTAATATTTTTCACTAAAGAAAAAGGGTCTCTACTCTTCTGTTGATGTAGTCTGTGATACACAGTAGTCCTCCTTTATCTTCTCTTTCACTTTTCAAGATTTCAGACACTTGTCAACTACAGTTCAAAAATACGAAGTTGCAAGTTCTGGGAATAAACAATACAAAATTTTACCTAACTTTTATGACAGTGTATTGTGAAACTTGTTCTATTTTATAACAGTTGTTATTCTCTTCCAATGCCTAGCTTATAAATTAACCCCTATCGCAGATATGCATGACCAGAATGAAGGCAACACATGTAGAGGTCAGTCCTCTCTGAGGTTTCAGGCACCTCCTGCGGACCTTGGAACATATCCCCTTGGGATAGGGCTGCTGTACGTCCACCTGGCTATGTGCAGAATAGTGAGATTGTGGCTGAGCACTTGAGTGTCTCAGTTTGTGGGATATACTTGCCTCCTCAGAGTCTATGACTGCTTGCTTCACTTACCTAAAATATAAAAGAACTAGGGGTGGTAGTACATACACGTAATCCCAGCTACACAGGAGGCTGAGTCAGGAGGACCACAAGTTAGAGGCTGTCTTAGTTTCCTTCTCGTTGCTGAGATGCAACACTTGACAGCCACAGCTCTAAGGAGGACAGGTTTCTTTTGGCTCACGTTTTGTAGAGGTTTCAGTCCATCATCAGCTGGCTCAAGATAGGGTGGTATGGCAGAAGAGAAACAGCTCATGGCAGTCTGGGGAGCAGAGAGAGATCAAGGTAGAAGGGAGTGAGAGGGAGCCTTCCTATCCACGCCCCCAGGGACCACCTCCTCCACCACCCTTCACCTCCCCGTGTTGCATTTTGCTATAAATTCGTCTGACCTAATGATGAGTATGGCTCCCTCGTGACCCAGCCACCTCCCAAGTCCCATCTGTGATCCTGTGAGACTTAGGGAGTCATGTCATTTGCAGGAAAATAGAAGGAAGTACAAACCATGAAAGAGACCATGCTGATAAATTTAGTGAGGCCTGGCTCCAAAATAAAAATTTTTAAAGGGCTGAGGACATAGCTCAATGTTAGAGCACTTTCCTAGCTTGTGCGAGACGAGGACCTGGGTCTGTCCGCAGCTGGGGGAAGGACTGTAAAAAATGTGTAAGTTTTATCACACATGTCCTTGAGTTCTTGAAAAGATTGGCAAAGCCGAGTTTCTCTTTATCTCAAATCCTCAACTCTACAGCACATTCAGCAACAAAAGCCCTTTACAAGGCACTTATTCCTGATACTACAGAAAACAGTGCTGAGAATATGTTTGTAAAACGGAGAAGTACGGTATGTGTGCATTAGTAGAGATTGAACCCACAGACACTCTCTCACTCAGCTACTTCCACAACCCTTTTAATTTTTTGAGGCAGAGTCTCACAAGCTCCCCAGGCTGGCCTTGAACTTGCAATCCTCTTTCCTCAGCCTCCTGACTGGCTGGGAGTGTGAGTGTGCACCAGCGCATGGGGCTCCAAGTGACTCTTCTCATTCTTCACTGAGACACAATACAGCAGCATCGTGCAGTGTGCAAGAGCTTTGCACATACAGGCACGGGCATTTCACCTTTTGAACCTCAGAAGCACCAGGGAGTACAGTACAGCCCTCCATGGAGGTTTGGTGATGGGACTCAGGGTCACGAGAACCCAAGCAGAGCTCCTGTTAGCAGAATCTGAGGAAGCCGGAACAAGGGATTCAGGGGAATCGGTATGAACACAGGCCCGCTGCCCATGCACCCAAAGGCAGCTAAGCTTGAGTGTCAGAGCCTGCTTAGCATGAGATGTGTCATCCATTCAGGCCATTCATCCACACTCTTAATCTGTGCTTTTAGTTTCCATCCTTAACCTTGTGTCTCCATCACTGAATTTCCTGATTAATATTCTGCATTTCCAGTCTCCAGTGTGTAAAAATGCATAGACTTGAGCTTGATTCATTAAATCATGTATGTGCTTTTAAAGAAAAATATCCAGAGAATCCACAGCTGTTGTTTTGGTAAATTAAAATATCTTAAATTCAAGCTTACACAGTGGTGGTTGTCTAAGGGTGCATGGTAAAATATTCTCAAATCTCTGGGCCCAACCCAGCCAATTACAGAGGCTCCATCATCCACAGAGGGCATACTGACTGGTTCTGTAAAATAAATGAAGCAATGTGTCATTTCCTTATCTAAGAAGAATGCTAAACAAATCAGAACAGGTAATTGGCTTTATTGCTGCTTTCCTGTGTTTTCTAAAAGTAGAACCTGTATCACTGAAGAGCATAAGAACTCGTGAAGGGGGTGAGGATTTAGCTCAGCGGCATAAGTGCCTGCCTTGCAAGCACACAGCTGTGAGTTCGATCCCCAGTACCAAAAAATAAAACAAAATAAAAAACTAAGTGAAGAGAAAATTAAATTTTCAATCAGTTTGCATAAAACTGAATCCTCAGGGAGATTTCAGCACGGCGATGGACACATCTGTGTTTGTGTGCGTGTGTGCATTTCAGCTCTGTGAAGTGAGAATGTGACCCACTGAGTCCTCAACACCAGCTGGGTGTGGAGGGAGGAAGCAGCGAATGTCAGAGTCTCATGAAAGTGCGACAGCTATCTCAGTCTCAAGAAAATTTTAGGCAAAGAAGAGGATTTCAGAGCAGTTTTCTAAATGATTTGTATAACTATGATATTTCAGTTTACAAAATGCTTTTAGGCACTTGCTTTTCTGTACTGATTTCCTCAGTATGCAAAGTTATAGTTGGATTTGAGGAAGAAGAAAAGAGCGGTGACTAAGAAAGCAGCAGCTGCTCTGTAGAAAAGATCTGCCTGGAAGGGTTTGTCTGCCCCAGAGCAGGAGCCCAGGTGTAGACAGGTGCTCTTGTGGTTAACTGGTCTCAGTGCCACGTGGGACCCAGGCTCTTCCCGTGTTTTCTCTGCATCATCCTTTGCAGATTGGCTTCTGTCTTCAGGCATGATGCTTGCAAGGAGGCTGCTGCAGGTCTGAGCATTGACTCCTCTCCAGAGACCCAAGGGTCAGGGACCAGGGCAGTGCCAGCTCTGAGCCTGTCCTGCATAGGAGCAGATGTTCCCCAGAAGTCCTCCTTTCAGCACTGTCTGCCTAATCTCACCCCCACAGCAAGAGAGACTGAGGAACGGAGTCTACCTGAGCCGTGTCTGCCACAGCTGGACTGCAGTTCCTCTTTCTAGCTGTCACTTGAGACGTGGTTTCTCAGGGCAGACTTAAAATCACTAGAAATACAGGGATTTATTCAGAGCCCACAGGCCAGCAGTCTCCATTGCACTGTAGTCACTCACTGAAAACCACATGCAAAGCAGGTCATGACAAGGGAGAAGGGAAAAAAACAAAATATGACGTCATACCTCAAACCCCGTGAGGAGAATTCAGAAAGATGTCAGGGATCTTCATAGAGACCCTTTCAAACAAAATGACACCTCGCTTCCCAAAGATGACAGCAAGCATATTTGAGAGTGCCTGCCAGGTTTGCTTTAATATGTGATAGGAAAGCTTCCGGGAGAACATGGCGGACAGATAGCAGCAGCTACAGAGGCTCTCTGAGAGACCCAGCTTAGAATCCTGGAATGGTGCAGAGTGAGGAATCCTAAGCAAGAGGAGATATGCCCTGCTGACCCAAGAATGAACTGGGCTGAGAGAAACCAACTGGGAGTGCAATCCTGGTGCTATAACAGGAACAGATAAAGCCTCAGCGTGGAAGCTGGAGCCCGCACCATTGGAAACCGCGATTTGGGTTTCCCGCCGCCGCTGCTGCGTCTACATCGGCTCGGCAGGGAGAGAGACGCACAAAAGCTCTGAGAACAGGAATCAGTGAATGAAGTTGAGAGTGGGATGGGCAGGGAGCCGTGCATCGACCTGCAGTGAGTGAGGGAAAAGGGGACTCTTCCACGGTCTAGGAGGCTCCAACAGAGGACATTCTGGGACCCGGAAGACTTGCCAGAACAGGGCGCTGTAGTGACTTCAGTCACATATCCCCCTCTCAGGCAGGATTGGTGAGCAATGCCTAGCTGCTGGCTGAGACCCAGTAGGCTAGCCCAAACCAGGTCCCAGTGCCTGGAGGTGCACCCTAGCTGTGAAGCCTTCAGTAGGTTGACCTGGAGGGGCGGGCCCTGCATATGCTGCTCAGTCTGTATCTCCCTGGTGCGCTGCGGTGGGCAGGAACACTTAGCCGGCGTAATGCAAACAGACTGGGGCCAACAGGGAAGGAAGCTGGGCCTCCTATATACGCTTGTATATAAGAAACAAAGCATATGGGAAGAGGGAGCAATAAGAAAGGCTCCTCAGCCCCCAATCCTGAGAAACAGGCAATAGCAGACACGGCACCAATAGACATAAAGCGCTATCTCCAGAGCCTCACAGTCAAGTTCAGGAATGAAGTTATTAATGACCTGAAGCAAGACATAAGCAGAATAGTTAGAGAAATGCTAAGCACCACCCAAGAAAAAACAGATGGTGGAATGGAAGAACAGGAAAAAAAGGAAGAATTATTTGATGGAGAAAATAGAGAAAACATAGAATACGTGAAGCAGGTTCAAAAAGATTACCAGGAAACTAAAAACTCTATCGAAAACTGGCATAGCAGCTTGAAAGAAACTAAGGATAGATTATCTGAACTGGAGGGCAGATTTGTAATATGGGAGCATGAAATGAAAAACTTCTTAAAAATAATAAAGAAACAAACAGCAATAATACAAAGGCTAGAAGATGATAAGAGGATCTATAACTTAAGAATTAAGAACATAAAAGAAGAGGTAGGGACACAAACAAATGAACTACAAAAGCTACTCACAAAAATAATCCAGGAGAATTTTCCTAATTTAGCAAAAGGTAAAGATACTCAGCTATATGAAGCATACAGGACCCCAGCCACCTACAACCCAAACAGAGCCACACCCAGGCATATAATAATCAAAATACCAGAAATCCAATATAAGAACAGAATATTAAAAGCCATCAGAGACAAGAAACAGATCACTTACAAGGGAACACCCATCAGAATTACAGCAGACTTCTCGGCACAAACCATCAAATCACGAAGAGCGTGGGGGGAAATAATTCAAGCTTTGAAAGATAATAACCTCCAGCCAAGATTGATCTATCCTGCACAACTGTCCCTGGAAATTGATGGAAAAACAAGGTGCTTCCAGGATAAAGAGGAACTAGGGGAATATGCAACCACCAATTCAACTCTACAGAGAATATTGTAGGATATCTTAAAAAAAGAAAAATACCAAGAATTCAAAAATAGTGGCAGAGAGGCCACAATGAATGGAGAAGAAAACAAAATGACAACTAATGACAGAAAAAGATCTCAACAGAAATGAGGCAGAGAAGATTGGATGATAGAAACAGCTATTTTGGAGAAAACGACGTCATAATAGGTAGTGCTGATTTAATATCATCTTGTTTTGAAGTCCCATCAAGATTTTGTTCTTCTGTCTCCATAGGTCTTAACATTATCTTACTGGATTTTATTATATGTGATAGTATAAACAAAAACTTTTATAGACAAGGAGATTATACAGAAACCATTGTTCATTTTCTGTTAGTTGATTCTAAATACCCTGTAATACTGTCATTCTCTTGAATGGTTTTACATTGTTTTGATATATTTGATGCTACAGTATACGAAGTTATACTCAAAGATTTCAAGGAAAGAGACAATATGGTAACTACTTGTATGTTGGGATTATCTTGTGGTGAAACACTATTT